TGACTCCATTTCAAATAGCACAAAAGTGGCAACATAGGTATGCACTTTGGCAATTTTAACAAGAGGATAAAAACCTACTTAAAAATTTCTAGACCTTCATATCCTATGCAGTGATCGACCTAATGGGTAAAGAAATTAACCAATCCTTTTCTATCTCACAGAGAGAATGGAAAAAGTCTTAGTCTAATAGCATCATCTAAAACTTCATTATACTTGAAAGTGTCACAAATTTCTAAAAGTTAGCGATATGAGCATTAAGATCATCACTTAGCAACCCACTAAATTGCACAGACTGTTGAATGTTCAAAAATGTTGCTGGCTTAATTTCAAAGTTATTAGCTTGTATTGCTAGTCTCCTTGTGCTTGAAACAGTCTCTGCAATTGAAGGTGAAGCATATTGCTTTAGTGTTTGATAACTTAATTTGCTATTGGATCCTCTGCCATAATGTCAATTTGTTTAACCATAGGTGTTATCCTATTGTTTTTCAATTGGTGAAGAGTGTGCTCAATCTCAGGATCAAAAGGTCAAGTTTTGTGTTCTTAGAACGAGTCATGCACTAATTTGCACACCTGCAAAACAAATAAAAGCAAACTTAAATTAAAAAAAAAAATCAAATTAAAACTAATTAATCTGCTTTGATATTAATTAAAAACAATACAATCCCTTGCAATGACGCCAAAAACTTAATGAGCTAAATTCACTCTAGCAAAGTACTAGTTAATTCAAGTAATATAATGATGAAAATAGAGCATCATCCCACAAAGACTGTAGACTAATTAAATACCCAAATTAACTAATTTTAATTTCATCTAAACAATTGAAATTAAATGATTTAAAGAAAGTAATTGCCTAAAACAATTAAAGGAAAACTAAATTGACTTTGAGGGACACCAAGAGTTAAAATCATAAGGCATCCAATTTCACCATAGCCAAGTTAATACAAAATTTAAATCAATATACTTCCAAGGTATTTATTACTCATGTGACAGCAAGATTTCCTATCTTATTCAATGTACTTTCTCAAGTTATATTAAACCCATCTTCACCTATTAATCCATTATATCTCTATGTGAATTTAAACAGGTAAAGAAGGATTATGTTTAGTGAAATTCCCTATGTAGAAAATTAGTTTACTTATCATTAATGTTGCACAAATCACGTTAGTCCATCTTTGGCTTCCATTCAATTCATGGTATATATTACTAGAAGCTATTGCATTAAATCTCCTCTCTATCTCAATTATGCTATTCAAATCAATTTTAATGGTGGCTAATCATTAAAAATCACTAAGAACAATAATATATACTTTACATGAAATAATAAACCTTAAAAGTATAAAAAAAATATGAAATTCTATACCAAAATAACTAAGCTACATCGTAGCCTTAGAAATTTGAAATTAAATTGATGAACCACAATTCCATATCTAAGCAAAGGAAAAGTAAAGTGTAGGAGAGCAAAACCCAATTTTATACTCTTCACTGATGTGATCTTCCTCTTGTTGTTGATTAAAATCTCCTTAGCAACTGCTATTTTTCCACTGTCACCCACATGAAGATTTGGCTTTAGTCAACCTACAAAATGCCCTTGTTATCTACAGACTGTCTCCTCCAACTTGACCAACTCCCTTTGCTTTTTAGATCTTTGATTGTGTGCCCTTATTAAAAGCCCAATTCATTTTGAAAGCCCACATGTCCATTGCTATGCATAGCATGTGCATAAAAGAGAAAAAAAAAAATCAATTCAAGTTTTGGTCTTCAAAGAGAGAAATTATGGGGTCAAACTTCTTCTTTTTAACTTTTGTCCTTTCAGCATGTTTACTTTTGATTTCTTCAATTTTACCCTCCACTTGCAATGAATGATGAAAATGATGTAAAACCATATAAAATCACTCCAAGAAAACATAAAAGACTCCAACTCATGACTAAAAAGCCATGTAAAATTGTATAGAATTTACTCTCATCAACCATGCATCTATAAACTCCCTTCGAGAGGAAAGGGAACTTTCCCTTTTTTTTCTTAGAAATAAAAACATGTTTTAGAATAATTCTTGTGTTTCTATCCTTCCTTATTTCCATCATAAAATACAATGAGAAGAATTCCTGAAGAAACTTAAGCAGTAGTGAAGTAACTTGTCCTATCTAGATACCCATTGTAGTTTGAATGTGGCATTAAGGATTGGACAGAGGAAGGAGTAGCTTGACCAAAGGCTAGATTAAAGGATTTTTGTGTAAAATTCTAACTCATTTATTTTATCATGTGGAAGGAAAGTAGGCATAAAAGTAGCTTTATTGTTCTTTAACATTAGGTTATTTTTGAGATTAGAAATGGTGGGGAAGTAGCACCTGACTTCTTATATTTTGAATAGAAAAGTCTATCTTTAAAATTAATTTATAATACCTTAAGATGCTTGATTTCATTTAAGAAATTTTATGAGCAACAATGTGAACATTATAGAAATAAAATAGTAAAAATTTTATAAAAAATAAGTAATATTAAAGATGACTATCATCTATTTATGAATCTCAAAATATGGAAGCCAATAACAAAAAATTTAAATGAAGATCTAAAATGATTAAAAAAAAAGATTAAACAAAGATTATCTCTTTTAGCAGCCTAATAGAATTAATTCCGCATTTACTAAGCTTAACACACCAACTACTCATCAGTCAATAATAGTCTAAATTAGGTTTTAAAAATCCATTAGAAATTTGGTAACAAAGCCATAAAACAATATTGTTAAGAATGGAAATAAGAAAGTTATTGAGATATTATGATCAATAGATTGATATTATAACAAAGATTATAGTAGAAGAAAGAATGATACCCTATAAAACTGATGAGTTACTATAGGATAGATATGCCTATAAGGTTTGTAAAGCATCAACTCTAGAAGAATAAAAAAATTTACTAAGATAGGAATAAAAGTTGTTTTTACAGAAAATATAAATTCAAGGACTAAAATATCAAAACAAATATAGTTAAAGGATTAACTAATTCTGTTATAGAATAAGAAGATTTCTATTACCTTTAACGGACTAGATGAAATTGAAATGAATATGGAAGATAATGGACAAGATTGGAAGAATCCAAAGAAAATAGACAAACTGGTAAAATATGAAAGTTAGTAGATGGTTTGTTAAATTAAGTCTATTTTTTTGGCTTTTTAGACATTACTTTTAAATTTAATATATATTTTAGTATATAGCAAAATGAAACTTTTCAATTGTCATTCATATGCTTAGCTAAATTTTTTATATGAAAATAAAATACAAAAAGTCAAAAAAAATACAATCAACGATCTGAGGAGGTTGGTGGTAATATTTTTTCAATGAAAGTAAGAGATTTGGGGATAGAAGAGGGTTACCTTTTACTGTACAACCCAAAATTAAAAAAAAAATTAAAATGAAAGTAGTACAACTAAACGAGAAATTCTTTAATGCAATGGGATACTATGTCAATAGTATCCTCCTCCACTAGAAACTTGGCACATCAGATAAAAATTACATGTTAATTGAGATGTTTAGATGAACGAAAAAACACCACTTTAACGGAGTTAAAATCAACAAAAATCAACAAAAGGATGATTGCAATGTAGATGAGAAGGAATCGGAGATGGTTGGGAAAGAAATTTGCAACAAAGCTTTTTTGAGAGATGTAAAGCTCAAAGATGGATTGCATCAAAAACGTTAAAGTTAAAAAAGTAGAAATGTTAAAGTTAAAATATAGAGTTTAACCTCATTAACGTGGTGTTTTTTCATTTGCCTAAGCATTTCAAGTGATGTGTAATGTTTTACTGATGTGTCATATTTTTAGTGGATGAGAATACCGTTAACATAATATCCTCATTGCACTAAAGAATTTCTCCTAAAGGAGTAGTTTTTTCTTTGGCCAAACATTATTGAATATATTTTCTCTTTTTTGTTACATTAGATGATGGGAATACAATAAAGGATGACCCTTCCTTCCCTCAATGCCTTTCTAGTTATCTTACAATTCGAATTGGAGATCTTCAATTTGGAATCTCAAACTCTTAACCACTTGAAATTCCCCATTAGGGACAAAATTATACTTTCTTAATTCTTCCCAAAATAGCTCTAGTTTCTCAACTCATAATTTTTTGTATTTAATCAATTGTCAATATTTGATCAATTGTCAATATTTTATTTTTTAAATTAGAAAAATATTTATTCTTACTTTAATCTTATTATTATTCCTTAACTTTAATGCCTAAATATGTATTTAGCCCTTTACGCTATTAAATTTAAAACTTTTAGTCCCTCACGTTATATTATGAAGTTTTAGCCTTTAAACTTATAGGTTTGAAGATTAGCCTCTAAATTAATAGAATCTATTAACTCTCCTTAAAGGTTTGAGAATAAAATATTTACAGGATCAATCTTCAAAGATTTAAAATATAACAATTTAGTTATAAAAGTTTAAAAATTAAAAAAATTAATAAACTACACTAAAATAGTATTAAATATTTATAATCAAATCGAGCGATTAGTTAAATATGAAGAAAAATTTTTGATTGAGATTAAGAAAATTTTTTAGTTGAATTAAGACACAAAGTCCAAGAGATTAGAAGAATATAGTTAAAAAATTTTCTTTAATCTCAATCAGATTTCTTTCCTTAAATCAAGTTAATCACTTAATTTAATTGTAGATATGTAATACTATTCTCATTTATGTGGTAAAGTCATAAACTAATTATTTTTAATTTACTATTTTTTTTTAATTTTAAATTTTTAGAATAAAATTGTTATATTTTTAAGGTTTAATACCTTTTTTGGTCCCTCTACTATAGGAAAAAGCCTTTTTTTGATCCATATACCGAAAAAATCTCCTTTTTGGTCCTTACTGTTCACAAATCCGACCCCTTTTTAGTCCTTCCGTTAAATTTTGGCTGATGTGGCAGGTTAATTAATGGAAACACTCATTTCTTTTTTTCAACTAAATTACGTGGAAAATTCACGTGGCAAAAATTGATGACATGTTAAATTTTTTACGTTTAATTACTGATATACCCTCATCTTCTTCCCCGGCTTCTCCTTCCTCCAGTTATTTTTTTCCTTTTTTTTCTTTTACTTCCAGGCGAACCCAAGAGCCTGGGTTCGCGAGGAACGCAGCTCGCAGGTTCGCGATGAACCCAGGTCTTGGGTTCACGACGTCCGTGAAATCTTTGGCCATAAATTTGTATCTGTGCAGGCAATCGTTCACCACCATGAACTGATTGTGGTAGTACCCATCAAACCTCTCCTGATCCCTTACGTCCTGCAGCGTCACGTACCCCAGCTCCATCCACGGCTTCAACACCTTCAACACCTCCTCATGAACCCTTCTAGCGTCGTAAATGATAAAACAGGATCTCTTTTCAAATAGTCTCACATGGTATGCTATCCACTCCCTCACCCTTTGGGGGCTCAAGTTCCCGTACAACGGAGACCCGCAATACAGGTAGTCGTATTTGGGTTCCACCGCGAACATTGAAATATTCAAGCTTCTGGGTGGCTTCGTCAAGTGTTTGATATTACTACTACAGTGCAAGTGTTTGATATTTGCTAACCCAGTACAAAATCGGTTAAACATTAATGCCAATGGCCCCATTGACAGAATGGCTCTGCATAATTTCAGAGCTTTCTTTATCTCCTTGCCGGCACCACAATTGCTGACAGCACAAATCATGTTGTGGATATGTAGCCACAATTATTTATGGGCTGTCTCCTGCATAAACAAAGCTTTTACTTCTTCCGCGGTTTGCCCTTTACTCTCACAAATTTTCTGGTAGACTTGTCACCACCACTGCCCAAAGAGAAGCTCCCGCCAGCATTAAATTGCAGACTACTGGAGGGCTGGAATGTAGTCTGGAACTGAGATGGGTTCTGTGGGGCGGATATATTCTGTTGGCCTCCAAATTGGAAAGGATTTGATACTGAAGGAAGTGTTGCCCCAAAAATGAACCCAGATGACGATGGGGTTACTGGTTGTTGACCAAATACTGACAACGTAGGTGTGGTTGCCTGAATCGTGTCCTCTGCCATGCTGTCTTCCATTTGGTCATTATTACTGGTCGGAGCTGAACCAAATGCAAATCCGGAAGTACTGCTACCGAATGCAGGTGGTGACGGAGTAGCAGCTGCTACCAAAGTGAATGGAAAAATGGAACTTGATGAGGCACTGTTGGATGATCCAAAAACCATAGGCGCACTTGTACTCCCAGCAATAGAAGTTGATGATGCGCCAAAGGAAAACCCCGATGGAAATGATGTATAATTAAAAGTCGAATTGAAGATAAGAGCCTTAGCAGCTTGCCAACCAAAACCAAACAAGCTAGTAGTGGCACCACTGGTGCTAACAGCATTGCTAACTGAAGAGGAAGAACTGACTCCAAATGTAGCCACCCGGAAGCTTGAATATTTCCAATGTTCGCGACGGAACCCAAATACGGCTACCTGCATTGTGGGTCTCCGCTGTACGGGAACTTGAGCCCCCAAAGGGTAAGGGAGTGGATAGCATACCATGTGAGACCGTTCGGAAAGAGATCCCATTTTATCATTTATGACGTCGGAGGGGTTCACGAGGAGGTGTTGAAGGTGCTGAAGCCGTGGATGGAGCTGGGGTATGTGACGCTGCAGGACATAAGGGATCAGGAGAGGTTTGATGGGTACTACCACAATCAGTTCATGGTGGTGAACGATTGCCTGCACAGATACAAATTTGTGGCCAGAGATTTCACAAACGTCGCGAACCTGCGAGCTGGGTTCCTCTCGAACCAGGCTCTTGGGTTCGCCTGGAGGTAAAAAAAAAAAAGAAAAAGAAAAAGAAAATAGTTGGAGGAAGGAGAAGCTGAGGAAGAAGATGATGGTATATCAGTAATTAAACGTAAAAAATTTAACATGTCATCAATTTTTGCCACGTGGATTTTCCACCTAATTTAGTTAAAAAAAAGGAATGAGTGTTTCCATTAATTAACTTGCCACATCAGCCAAAATTTAATGGAAGGACTAAGAGGGGGCCGGATTTGTAAACAGTAAGGACCAAAAAAGGGCTTTTCCTTATAGTAGAGGGACCAAAAAGGGTATTAAACCTATTTTTAATTTTTGAGAATTGATCTTATAAATATTTTATTCTCATTTTAACTGAGAGTTAATGGATTTTGTTAGTCTAAAGGCTAAAATCTTCAAACCTTTAAGTTTAAAAGCTAAAAACTTCATAGTATAAGATAAGGAGCTCAAAACTTCAAACTTAATAATGCAAGGGCATAAATGCATATTTTAGCTAACTTTAATTATCTACCTAATTATTTATTTTTTATTTATCTCTATTTTTCCTTAAGAGAAATATATGTAAATATATAAAAACTATTCTTAAATTTTAATGTCTAGTTAAAGTAAAAAAGAAAAAAAAAAAGAAAGAAAGACAGTTGTGATTTCAACTAGCATTAAACATGAGATTGCTTTGTGCATCGACACCCTTAGGGTTTTGGCATTGTTGAGCCTACTTCTTAGGGTTTCGTCTCCAAACTAGAAGCCTTCTTCTTCTTCATATATATGCATACCATAACTAGGATTCTCTTCACATGCAAATTGAATTGCATATCCATATTTAGCTTTATTCGATGCGCCTTGTTCTTCACCATTGGTTTTCTATCATATCTTGTTGTGGGTGTTGTTGGCTTACTCCCTTACTATCTAGTTCCCTATTTTATGGCGATGGTGAATAGCATAAGAGAGAGTTAGGCTCATTGCTAGGCAAGGTTCAATTGGTTGAAGAAAAGGTTGGCATTGTCTTATTAGTTCATGCTTGCAACTCAGACAACCATCAAATCAAAATCTTAAACTTGGTAAGGAAGGTTCTATATACTCTATCTCATAGAAGGACAAACTTGAGTGGTTTTTAGAATGCATGATAGTGTCTTTGAATATTAAAGGAGACCTTCGAATTATAGAGATTGGCAAAAAAATTTATCTATTTCAATTTGACAATCATTTTGATATGCAACCATTTTTTCACAAATGCCTTGGAAATTTTAGCAAATTACTAATAATTCTAAAAAAATTCCAGACTAACCTTACTCCTAAAAAGTATGACTTCAATTCATGTCCATTTTGGGTTCATATTTTTTTGTGTCCCAATTGGTCTTCAACGGCAAAGGTTGCCAAATTAATTGGCGCTGTAATTAGTAAAGTCCTTCACATGGATGAAAGATATACTAGGGCGCTCAAATTTCATATATCCCTGAAAAGAGATCAACCTTTAAAGTGATATTAATCATCACCAAATCACTACAACAGAGTTTCGAAAATTAAGGCTCAAATACGAAAGGCTCCTAAATTTTTGTTAAGAATGTGGCTGGATTGGACACCTTGAGCATGATTGTGAAATAGCTATGTAAATAAGAGAAGCTAGAGAGAAGGTTGTGTTGTAGATTTTAATTAAAAAAATGTGAAATGTGTATTTAATTAAATATATTTATATGTTCTATTTGTTTCTAATTTATTCCTTTTTGTAACCGAAAACAAATGTCTTTAAAATGTTTTAAACCTTATAACCGTTTTCCATTTTAATTGATTAGCTTTGGTTACATTTTGAAAATCCATAAATAGGTAGTTATGTAGCCCTCAATTTGTACCATAAGTTGCTTCACAAGAATTATATTGCACTCTCATTCCTAGCACATACATGTAATATCTTGGTGCGGGTGTAGAGCTTGCTTTACAAAGGTGAAGAACTTGTAAAGCCACAACAAAAAATGTTAGGTTGTTATATCCTAAGGGTAGCATAACCATATAATACTAATACACTAGTGATACAAAATATCCTGATTGATTTATGCCTCTATCATGGCCCAAAATCGAGAGCAAAACAAATGTCGTACACTTGTGAGAAGATCCCACAAAGGCACAAGGCTCAAAACCTATTTAATTCATATCTAGCAGACCACTAACTAAGATCCAAATCTCAAAATAAAATCTGGCTTTTATAATCCAAGCTTTACTGAGCCAAGAGTGCACGAAAATTTATACAACTCTATGTCCAAAAATAATTTGACTAGCAGCCTAACTCCAAAATAATCTAAATCCAAAATATAGGTGGCTATCTTTCTAGCTTATCACTCCCCTTGGTTTCCCATGTCTCAAGTCTCACTACCTGAAATGGTGAATGAGGAAAAATTATGTTAGATAACTCAGTAAGTAAAATATGGATAACCTTTAATTAAAGTTATAGCATGCCAACAAGTATAATCAAGTATCATGAAAAACTGGTACACGTACGGAAATGAAATAAACATCTCTTCTATAGATCATGGCCAACATTTATAAACCTCTCATTGGCAAGCACAATAATAACCAATGTATTATTCCACTAGTAGGAATAACAAGACAAATCGGTTTTCAGGAATACATGTCAACATGTGCCAACGTTTATAAACCTACCACTAGCGGGCACAGTAAAACATGTCCATATTGAAGACTAAACCATGCAAGAGTTACAGGAAAATCCATAATTTACAAACCAATTTCAAGTTATCAAAACAATTCAGTAATCTCCAAGTAGGCATGCTTAAATCAATAAATGATAACAACTTCATTTTAAACCAATCATGCTCGTTTTTGTGTAAAACGGGTTTAGTCCCACAACCACTTCAAAAAACAGTTCAAAATTATGCTTTTAAAACCTTTATCTTAAAATCCAACGGTATTTACCATAATTTTACTTACCTCACTTTGTAGGTAAATAACAAGCAAGAATTCAACATTTCAAGGCAGTGAAGGTGATTTAGAACCTATGCCACATCAAGTGAATACTTAGAATAGGCCTAAAATAACTCTAAACATCACCCTAAACAATAGGTATTCCAAACAGATTTTCTAGGCAGAATAAGATGGAAAATTGTGAGAAATCAAACTCAAAACCATCTTAGACACCAACAAAAATATTGGGTAGCAAAGTGGGGGTTTCTACCATTTAAAGCAATTCCAAAATGCTTAGAGAAAGCCTGAATAGGAAGGATTTCTAGGCAAAAAGATAGCAGTAAAACAAGGTAGATTACTAGCTAAAACTAGGCAACATTTAAGCAAAAAATGCAATAGCAAAAAGGTAGCCAAAATAAAGCAATAACAAAGGGTTTTAGAGCAGGAAAACAACAGCAAAAAGTCTACTAAAACCATGATGTGATATGTCAATAAAAAATGTGGGAATTGAACAGACAACAAAACAAATTTTTGAGAAAGTTCTAGTCAAATTTTGAACTAGAAGTTTGAATAGAATTCACACCTAAAAATTGGCCAATCTGGGCTGAATGGTCAACAAATAAATTGTAACCCTATGTCTTAACATTCTATAGGATTAAGAATCACCTTAATCCAACATATACGGAGAAAGTTATAGCCAAAATATTAACACAAGGTTGGGTTGCCAGTTCTTCTACTTTTGAGAAACGAAAATTGTAGTAGAGTTTTCACCATGAAAACAACTTAACTGGGTTAAACATCCAACAAAAAAAATTGTAGGGTTATCTCGTAACTTTCTATAGAATTAAGAATGGACTCAATCCAATATCTATAGAAAGAGTTATGGGCAAAAAACTATGACATAGTCATGTTGTCAGAATTTTCAACAAAAAGGAAATCAAATTCTGATGGTGCTAGATTATAAGCAAGAGAAATGGTGCAAATAAGGATGTGAACTTTGCACTTTTTTCTATTTAAGGATTTTAATTTTGTTAGTTTCCAAATAAGGACATTAACTTTCAATGTTTTCTATTTAAAGATGTTAACGTTCTTTTTTTTCTATTTAAGGAAGTCAACTTTCAACATTTCACTAAAAAAATCAGTTTGTCATGTTAGCATTATCATCCAATAAATCCTTAAATAAAAAAAGTTAAAAATTAGTATCCTTAAATAAAAAAAGTTGAAAATTAATATCCTTAAGTAGAAAAATTAAAAGTTGACATCCTTATTTACTCCTTGCCTCTTATGAGCAAAGATCACAGGAGAAACTACAAAAAAATTCCAAAATAGAAAACCCTAAAGTTGTGTTTGGGAACTTGAATTTGAATTTGATATGTGTATTTTAAATATATGTATTTAAAATACATGTAATTCAAATACATGTATTGTAAATACTTAATAAAATACATAGTTTGAATAAATTAAACTACTATGAAATTGAAATTGATTTGATGTTAATCCCTCTCATTGAGGCATTTTTACAAACACTTGATAGACAATATTAATAGGCATTTTTATCATTGCTCACGACGGCTTGATATGAACTGTGGTACCCTCATCACCATCACCCACTACCAAAAAATAAAAGATAGAAGCTTGTTGTCATCTTGGGTGCTACAAGCTACAAGAAGTCCTACCTTTCCCTTGGCTTGGCCGCTGTCTACTTTGCTTACTCTCAAGTCATCAACTCAAAAAATCCAAGTTTATGGAGATCTCAATATCACCACCAATAAATTACCTTTCCATAAGTGACTTGGCATCCCCACCACTTTTGAATGTGATCATTGGAGCTTCTTCAAAGAGTAGAGGAAGATGAAGAGAATGAGCAAAGAATTTGAAATTCATTGTCAATTTCATAGGTATGAGAAGGTATTTCAAATACATGATATTTGGTCTTTAAAATACATAGGTTGAAATACATGTATTTAAACTAAAATTCAAATACACTTATATTTTGTAAAAACAAACAATGTATTTGACTTTATAACACCAAATTCAAATACACTTCTCTCAAATTCATGTTCCCAAACAGAGCATAAAGGATTAACGTTAACCCAATTCAAATCAAAGATGAAAAAATGAGCAATATGGTTGATTTCTTACCAAAAAAATCCTAGAAAGATGGTGACCTTCTACACTACTCAAGGACCTAACATGAACTAGCAAATTGGAAGGATATCAGTAGCAAGATCTGGGTTTTGATTACCATTTTGAAAACCATGAGCTCATAAATCTTTAATCCTTGCTAGGAGAAGAAAGAAAAGGCTAAGTTCCTTGTGTTTCTAACAAGGAGGTGCTAGTGCTTATGAAGGCAAACTTCTGGTGAGGGCTGGGGCGAAACACGCAGAAATGGGCAAGAAGAAAAAGAAAGTCAACCTTAGCCCTTTTTTATCACCAAAATTTTCTTTTAACCCCCTTAGCTTTGGAAATTTTAGCTATTAGGCCCAAAAATAATAATTTCTACCATAAAAGTCCCTAACTTAAATTCTAAAATTTCAAAAAATTTTGTGATATTACAACCTCAGCCCATCATTCTTCATCTTTGTGGACATTATTTAATAATATTTTTTTCTCCCATTTACTCTATTTCAGTACTAATTTCTTATATTTTTTGTTGTGAGGAACAACGTTAATATGGTGGAATATGCAAAGGAAGCCAAGAAACAACTTTGATATGTAGTAGATATGAAGATTAAAGTTCAAGGAACAATAGATTATATAACAATTTGGTCCACAGCAAAAAGCCGAATTAGAAAACTATTGACACCTTACTAATATAGAATAACTTGGTGATCTATCTACTTTGAGTGTGAATTTCAACATGATTAGCAAGGCGGTGGAGCATGAAGCATCATTGAAACATGTGGTGGCCATGAACTAAGAATTAGAGCATGCAATAGTGCACTATTATATGCTTAAACTTGAAGCCAAGGTACCAAATCAGCATATGATTAAGCAATTGCATGCAAAATGTTACATCCTAGACCTGCAACCATAGCCAAAAGGGTCAAGTTTGAGCTCTAACTTTTATTTATACAACAAATTCTATCATAATAAACTAGATTAAGAATCAACTGTCAATCACTTAATGCCCCATTTGGTAAACAAAACATATTATAATAATGTAAAGTTCTTTTACAAAACATTGAACTAAGATTCAACTTTGGGTAGATACAAGTTACCTTAACAAGCCTGAAAAGCTTGTTCACTACCAACAACCATAGGAAACTCTTAGTCTTCCAAAAATTGTTGATCTCTTCACTAGCTAACCTGAAACAGGGTGAACAATACACTATGAGCTATGAAGCCCAATAAGCATAGGTTATAACTTCAGAGCCATGACTGAAATATTAATTTAACTTATTAAGTTCCATCAATTAACTTACATTGTTCTTCCACATAAAACTTATGTCAAGGTACTAGAATTAGACATAGAAAAATCATCATCTTGAAAATAATCCATATTCTGTAAATTAGAACTATCTAATTTAGGACAAGTAAGTTCAATCCAAGCACATGCTCACTTGGTCTCCATTTTAGAACAAACTAGAAAATACATTCCTTTACCTCAAGAAGCATAGAATCAATTCCATTAAACACTACTCATCAATACTAAACAATTTCATTAGTGTCATCAATAAAGATGATATAAATACCTCAAATAAACATAAGATAATAGCAAGGCAGCTTGATGAATGCAAGTTCTTACCCATGGATTTTTCCTTGTGGGTGTATATCTCACCATACCAATGGTCCAACTAATGGTTCTTCCTACTGCATAATGGATTTAGATATCTTTCTCAACACTCCTAGTCTAACTAGGTTATACCTAGCTCAATAGCTTAGGTATCTTTTTAGAAATCTTCTTTCTTTACTCCAAATACGTTAAGAGCATCATTCTTTTACTCTAGGTAACTTTAGGAATATCTTACCTAGCCATTAGCTTAGGTATTATACCATAAATTTTATGTAGCATGTGAAATAATGCATTCTCATGTCATAAATCATTTCTCATTCTTTAACTCATATAAACAGCACTCTATACAATATCATGGGCTAAAACCAACATTTAGCCCCTCACCTTACAAAATTGGTAGGTTTTAGCCCCTAATCTTATAATATGATACTTTTAGCCCTTTACCTTACAAAGTTTGTAGGTTCTAACCCCTCACCTTACAAAGTTGGTAGGTTTTAGCCCCTTACTTTATATTATGACACTTTTAACCCCTTATTTATACGAATTGAAGAAAATAACCCTTATTTAACATCAGGTTTTAATGTTATATTAGTTATGTTAGCTAATTGTTAGTTCTATTAGCTAACTATCAGTTTTATTAACTGACTGTTAGCATCCGTTAACATTCCGTTAATGAAACTAACAAATAAAATTGAATTTAAATTTCATATTTTTTATAACGGAATGCTAACAAATGTTAACAGTCAACTAATAGAACTAATATAACGTTATAACCTGATGTTAGATGAGGATTATTTTCTTTAATTCATATTGGTGATGGGCTAAAAATATCATAATATAAGGTAAATGGTTAAAACCTACCAACTTTGTAAGGTAAATGGCTAAAACTTACCAATTTTGTAAGATAAAGGGCTAAAACTGTCATGTTATAAGGTGAAGGGCTAAAACCTACCAACTTTATAAGGTGAGGAGCTAAATGTTGGTTTTTGCCCACTGTCATGCTGTACCTTAGTTATAGTAAAACAATTTAATATTAAATCACAATAGAATAGCATAGTAACTTGCATCAAATAAAACTTTCAAAAGCCATATCTACATGTCGAGCATGTGATCTCAACTTTAATCTAGCACTGACTTATAGCCTAGACATGGCTAAACAATTAAATTCAACTTGCATATTAACTGATCTATTTATCACTTATCCTAGTTGATAGATTCTTAGAACTTCAAGCTATTTCATGGATAGAACAAATCATATATGGCTCAAACACAGTAGCTAACCATGAACTAACTCATAATTTCAATTGCATGCTAAGGTTCTACTTTATTAAGCCCTTTTCTTGCATTAGCTTTAGTCTAGGATCATATTAAACCAAATAAATATCATTTTAACTTTAATTACAGCTACCATAGTTATAATCTATGCTTACCTCACAAAGCCTAATACCTTTCTTGGTAGAATCCCTTAGATTTCCTCATATTCTCTCATTGATTTATAGTTGCTCCTTTGGTTATTTTCTATTTCTGGTTTGACCCACAAATGCAAGAATTGAACAAACATTTCTTCATTTCTTCATTTTATTGCCGCTTCAAAGTCCCCTAAATCTCCTTTCATTTCTTTCGATTGAATAGAAAAAGGAATGGGAAATTGTTAAGGTTGCAAAGCTTCTCTCGATTGAAGAAAAGCAAAGAAGTCATAACATGGTAAATGGCATGAAATGGGTTTTGAATTCAACTATAACCATGGGTTGATTTTGTTGGTGGAATCTACCTCTGCCACCTCGCGAATCTCCAATGAATGGCTTTGGAAAAAGTAGCCCACTAACTCAAAGTTTTTTGGGTTTGCCATGCAAACCTTTAACTTCTAAATTATACAATTAAGTCATTAGTAACTAAGGACTATTATTTAAAATATAATCAAGCAAGGATGGGATGTTACATAAAGTGTGTTAAAGATCAATGAAACAGTGCAACCAGTTACTATTTACATGCACTGTTCATGTCTAGTTCAATTTCAATTAAGCTAGTGAGAAGTTTCCTTGTTGATTTTACAATGTAATCTTTATATATCTTTGATGTTAAGTGTTCATATAAAAAATACGGGTTGGCTTTAATTGTATACAATACCATGCCTTTGCTTTATAGGGTTTATATTATTATTTAATTGTAAGTGAACATTGTAATGTGACTGGTAGTGTTTTGTATAAAAAGCATACCAAAAAATGATGAAAAACGAATTGGAAAATCAATGAGAAAAATATGAGCGTCATCTCTAGCTCAATTTATGTCATTTCCTTCATCTTTCACATGTTTCTCAAGATTTTTTCTTGAGTTTTATGTTGGTTTGAATCAATTTTTCTTAACTAATCTTACAATTGGTATCATAGCTCATTTCTTGAGGGATCTGTGAATGTAATGTGAGAGTGTAAACACGACTTGTGGTAAGGGAGAGAAATCTATGATTCAGCAAACACAGTAGTCTCCTGAAACAATTCTAGTTCACTTTCAAATCCACCTCTGTTCATGAGAAAGAATTACAATATTTGGTCAGTGAAGATGCAGGTCTTCTTGAAAGGCAATGGTGTCTAGGATTTTGTCACGCCCCAAAACCCAAATCCGAGGCGCAACAGACGTCGTACACTCGTGAGACAGGTCCCACAAGTGCACAAGGCTCGGAACTTATCATATCACACTCTGATACCATCAAATCTGAAGATCAAATCTTTAAAATTTCCTCTGATATCATAAAATCTCCAAATACACTATGGTTTACAAGATCATGATTTATTTCTAAATCTATGTTCAATTTTACAAAATGACTAGCCTTCTAACTCGTCACTTCCCGTGGTTTCCCCGTCCTCGGTTTCACTTCCTGAAATGGTGGACAAGCAAAACTATGAGATAACTCAGTAAGTAAATATGGATAGCCCTTGGGTAAAACTTTTAGCATGCCTGATAACCAGTTTAACATAACAAATCACTCAATGACAAAATCAGATTCAGTTCACTTGCAAAGCATTCAATGACAAACCGTCAATGTAAAATCAGATTCAGTTCAATAACAAAACGTTTCATGACAGACTGTTAATTAAACTCATAGCATGCCAACAAGTGTAATCATGAAAACAGATACAGTACGGGCACGAAATAGACGTCTCCTCTATAAGTCACGGCCAGTATTATAAACCTCCCACTGACAGGCAACAGAAATTACTAGTGTTTAACCCCCATTAGTAGGGTTACAAGAACGAACCGGTTCTATCAGTAACATATCGACATGTGCCGACAAGTGCTAGCGTTTAACCCCCACTAGCAAGATCATCAATAACATATCGACAGGTGCCAACATGTGCTAGCGTTTAACCCCCACTAGCAGGATCATCAATAACATATCGACATGGGTCGACATGTGCTAGCGTTTAACCCCCACTAGCAGGATC